GTATCCTATAATTTTGGAATGTGGCTATGTTGATATAAAGTAACTTCAACAAAAACCTTGGGCATTTTAATATTATACACATACATATATGTAAAATTCTATATCTCTCTTTAAACCTCTCTTGCTGCCCCACTTATCACCCCCTTTTCTACCTTTTCCTCCCCTCTTTCAGAAACATTTAGACCTCCCCCATGGCAAGGGCCATCAGGAAGCCTGTGGATACTATAGTGAGGGTGCACAAATAATTCAGAATAAAGCAGCCCAATTCATGTAGACTGGCATTAGGATAAGTATATCTTAAGAAAGTTCTTATTCAGACTTGGCTTCAGGCAATAAAACGTCATAGACGTATAACTGTAGCAAGTGAAATTTCTAGGGAGCAAATTAGGCTGAAAACATCTTCTAGAGACAGCTAGAAAGGAATCACACACCACTCGAAAATAAGGAAAGTTATGCAGTAAATGTTTCATTTATTGGCCTTCTTCCATTACTATTAGGGTTAAAAGACATCTTGTCAATAAGAAAGGTATATTTATGGAGGGCTGATGTATTTCGGAAAGCGACTTCTTGTCATATATGCCTATAGCAGTAGCTATCAGCTTATGAAGGCAGGTGATAAAACTCTGTACAAATCCATACATCTACCCATTAACCCTTGGATCATCAGGCATCATTGTCACTTCATTATCAGGACCTTTTATTAGCTTAAGCAAGGTGATCAAGCCAGGCACATCCAGGAAGTACCAGAACAGAATTGTGTTTCCTTAGGGTTTAGAGAAGTAGGTGGATGTCTTTCCAATTTCCTAGCAGCTAGTGAAGAGCACACCATAGGATCAGAGAGGTTGGGCCCTCTTTACCACCCCCACCTCTATTTTCAACTGAAAATGGAAAGCATCGTAAGATCATCAGTGAGGTCTCTGGGCAGCTCAGTGTCCTTACCTGAGGTGAGAGGACACTAGTATTCCGAGATTAATCACATGGAAAATAAAGCCAAAAAGAAGCTTTCAGAGTGGAACAATTAGGTTTTTTCTAGTTTTCTTATGTTCTCCGGATTCTCTCACTAACACTCCAGTTTTGCTCGGTCAATAAACATTTATTAAGCACCTACTATGTACCAGACACTGTGCTAAGCTCAGCCAGGTAAAAAAATCCAAACTCGACTCATGACAGGGACTGGACTATACAATTTACAGTTAGGTTCTTTAAGGGAAATCTACATATATATGTATATATAGATATACATACACATATACACATATGTGTGTCTATGTACATATGCATATATATTTAAAATGTGTATATGTGTATTTATTGAGTGGAATTTAATGGACTCTTGCTTAGCAATTAGCTCAGCTGAATATGGCTGTCAACACGTATTCCCTGCCTCTGGTAGATGGGTGTGGTGTATTGTTATTTTTAAAATAACCAGTCAAGCTTCCACTGCAGTTCATCCCTGCGCTAGCACACTCTAAGATGTCTTAGCATAGTTGTGAGGTCCTCTGAGAACATGGCAGGCATGAATTGAATTGAATTGACAACCAGCTGACTTTTATATAGACCATGATGCTCAAGGAGACTGACCTCATTGTAGCTGATCTACTGGTGTCATTTTAAGGCCCTTATAGGCTTCCTTTCTAGCTGCTTGCTGATTTTTATTGTTATAGTTATTTTAACGGAAACAAAGCCTTTCAATTATCCAATAGAGATCAAGTTAGACATGCTAGTATCCCTGAGAGAGGAAATAAAGACTGAAATTTAGGCTAAAGTGTAAATGTCTTCTACCAAATCTATTTCTAAGGTCAGATTCTGCTGAGAAGAGGTCAGAGGGTAGGAGAGACCACTCAGGCTCTGAGCCCTTAAAGGGTCAGTGGGAAAGGTGTGAAACAAAGTCAGGAGTCCTTTCACCTGCTTTGGAATTTTACCTAGGCCTTGTGTCATTTCAGGCCTGGCCACAGCTACTCCCTTGCAACATTTGAGAAAAATGGTCCCAAAGCAGGCTGCTTAGGTTAGTGGGATCAGTGAATGTGAGGGACCACTACTCTTCTCATGGAACATTTAGCTATGGCACTACAAGCCTGATTTCTATGGGAAAGGCAATTTGTCCCATTGCTATATGAGACAGACCCATTGAAGTTTCCTTTTACATTCTGATTGTCTGTTCAAGGCCACTAGTTCTGAAGATCAGAATTCATCAGTGCCTCTAGAAGGGTAGCCTCAACTTCTGGCTCCATACCATTTTGCTCTTGAAATTTTTAAACCAAACCTATAAATCCAACATCCAAATTACTGGTGGGCCTGACTCTTTTCATTACATGACTTTGGCTCTTATGAGATGCAAACAAAAAAAAAATTTCTTTATCAAGGTATCAATGAAGCTTTTCTAGCTAACTGGTATTATTGGTCCTTTAAGATATCTCTTGTCATTTCTGAGCATTTTATGGTATTCAATTTACTAAATTAAATGTGGCACGTGTGCTGAAATGGAATAACTTAACTGCTTAATTAGATCATAGTTTTAAAAAGAAGGCAAGGTGCAAAAAATTCACTTTTGGAAGAGAAAAAGTAAGAGCAAACCCAAATGCAGAAAGTTATTAACTGATGATTGCAGAATTGCTGTGGAATTTGGCAAAAATGCTTGCCAGGGTTTAAGAATACTGATATCTTTGAAAAGTTGAATTCTGTGCCATTTGGCCAGCTTCTGTTAAAATAGGCAGGACTATAAAGGAAATAAGAAAACTTGTTTTCTGATTCAATTCAGAGCAGGGGCGAAAGAAAATGGAAACAGAAAATAAACCCAGAAGACAAATAAATTGCCCTAAAATTAAGTTACTACAAAAATGTTGCTGTGCAGGTAAACATCCTTTTAAAATAGAGCTTGGGGAAGTAGGCAGCATACATACAAAGCACATTGAGGCAATAGGTGACAATTAGCAAGTGTGCATAGCTACAGTCTTTCCACCAAAAGTCTACAACCAAAAGCAACTTAGTCAAAAGGCCCAAAGAAAAAGAACTGGTAAATCCATTTGTACGTGGATTTAACAGTGAAGTATTTCATTCTTCTTGTTTTTACTTGGTGTCTTGAAATAATCCCCTTTCTGTCTCCATCCTCGCACTTAGACATTGTTCACAGCCTTATTTATTTATGAAGTCTGAAGGTTAGTCCCTACCTGCTGAGACTAATTAGCCCTGTTCTTTGTATCCTATGCAATCCTGTCTGATTAAATGTACACATTTGTTTTACTTCTTTTTATGCCTCCTTTCACTCTTTCTGCTTTTCTGATTAATATTAAAGTTGTTAAGTTGCAGTGGTTCTCTCCATCTCCCCACCCCACCCCATTTTTATTTTGCCTGCATCTTTCCCTTTCGTGTGCAAATGTGGTGGTGAAAATTTCCAGGGCTTGAGAATTTATGTTAGCCTTGTCGATCTTTGCATTATGATTTTCAGTCCCCTGTTTTTAGAAAGCATAACCTATAAGACAGTTTTGCTGAAGCCCCCAAATTCCCTAAACATTACGTGATAAATCGTCTTTTTTTGGCACACCCTGGGTGCTGAATATGGCCCTCTCTATACAGCAGCAAGTTAGATTTCCTGGGGAATGTTTGGATTATTTAGTGCAGCATGACTCTCTTCCCAACATATATTAGACAATTGGTTAATTCCTGCTGAATTTACTGCCTAACCTCCTTTGTCTTCTTCGAAGTTAAAGTTTCCAGTGGACTCTTCCATTGTCATAATTGGGCATTTGGTGGAAGATCAATGTGCTTGCCCTATCTCCACCTACCTCTGGGATCCTGCCTTAAAAAAATTCTCACTTTTTTACTTATCAAAACCCTTGTTTTAGAACTAAAATAATTTAGTTGTTTCAGTTTGCTGCTTTCTTTCTACAGTCATTGACCTACATCTGATCACTTGTTTGCATCCTTTAGTGATTTAATTCAAGACGCCCTAGGAAGGAGGCTGAAGTCCCACAGGGTCCAGAGGCGGTAACTTTATTTTTCTCTAGGGAAGCGCACACCCAGACTTTTCACCTCCAGAACCAAAAAGGACTTTGGATCCCACACTGCCAACCACTCCCACCAATACGTTGATTTCAAATGTTTTCCATCTAGCTACTTAAACACAGTGCACATCCACAAGATACAGACACTTAAACCACTTTCTTTTTTCTCTGACTTAAATCTCAGAAGTGTTTGGTGACCGATTTTTTTAAAAGTGATTTTTGCAAATGTATCTTTATGGGACAGTTTTAAATTGAGGAACGAGTGAATATTATTACAACTCCCCCACTTCTTTTTAAAGAAGAAAAATCTTGTTTTGGTTAAAAAAATTTTTTTAATCGAGACTGCCAAGCTACTTAAATAAAAACATTTTCCAAGAACTCTATTTTCTCTATGCATGCTCAAAAGTTATGGACTATTCCCCCCCCCCCCACACTTCTGCACACTGCTGATTTGCTCCACCTAAAGGTTAGTGCATCCACTGCTGGAGCAAACATAAAATATTTTCCTTTCCCTAATTCCACTCCCCGCCCCCCTCCTCCGTGTACTTTTTCCTTCCTAACTCAATTCTAAAGTGCACTTTTGTTTGGACCCTCCCCCCCAATGTGGGGTCTCCTAGGCCCTACCCGGGCCTACCCTCCCACTCCTAACTCAGTTGCCAGCCCCCCTTTCTCCTCCTCTCCTAATTTGCATAGTCTTCCTAAAACCATTCCTTTTCCCCTTTACACTTACACATACTCTCGGCCTCTCACACTCATTCCTCGTCTGTCTTTCCCTGTCCCTCCCTCTCTTCTCCTTCTCCTCTCCTCCCTCCCTCTTTCTCTTTCTCCTTCTTCCAGTCCCCCTATCTCTCTTTCTCTCCTTCCCTCCCTCTTTCCCTCCCTTCCTTCCTCTTGGTTGCCAGAAAGGATCATTGTTAGTTTCTCTAGCTCTTTCCCCCTCCCAGCGCTGTTTATTTATGCACACGTAACCCGGCTTGGCCCCGCCCCCTCCTGCATCTCATTAAGGGGCTAGTGTGTTTCTCTCTCCCTGTCAATAATCTAGGCTCCCAGACTTCTCCGTTTCTCCGGATTTCGATCCCCCTTTTTCTATCTGTCAATCAGCGCCGCCTTTGAACTGAAAAGCTCTCAGTCTAACTTCAACTCACTCAAATCCGAGCGGCACGAGCTCCTTCTATATCTACGGCTTCCTCCCCCCTCCCTTTTGCTCTTTATATCTGACTTGTTGTTGTTGGTGTGTTTTTTTACCCCCTTTTTTATTTATTATTTTTTTTGCACATTGATCGGATCCTTGGGAGAGAGAGAAAAAAGGAACCCAAACTCACGCGTGCAGAAGGAGAAGAGATTCCCCCCCCTCCCCTCCCCTCCTCCCTCTTTTCCCCTCCCCAGGAGAAAAAGACCCCAAATCAAAAACTTCACCTTGGACTCTTTTTCTTGCAGATTTCTTTTTGGCAAAACTTTTTTTTTGTGATTTTTTTCCCCCGTTTTTCCCCCCTTTATTTTTCTTCCAAAATTGCTGCTGGTGGGTGAAAAAAAATGCCGCAGCTGAACGGCGGTGGAGGAGATGACCTAGGCGCCAACGATGAGCTGATCTCCTTCAAAGACGAAGGGGAGCAGGAGGAAAAAATCTCGGAGAACTCCTCGGCCGAGAGGGATTTAGCTGATGTCAAATCGTCCCTAGTCAATGAATCAGAAACGAATCAAAACAGCTCCTCAGATTCCGAGGTAAGGCGAACCCCTCGGGCTGGTGGGGTTTAATTTGTTTCCTTGGCATGGCAAATGTTAAAAAAAAATGGATGGGGGGGTCAGTAGGGTTGATTGCATCGCTCTGGTTGCTATGTTTGTGGGTTTCTTCCATTGCAAAAACTTGTAACACTTTTTTTCTCTCCCTTTTAATACCCCCCCATTTGTTGTTCTCTCCCCCTCTTCTCTCCGTTCTATTATTCCTCGCCCTCCCCACCAACACCCATTCGAAAGGCGGAAAGACGGCCCCCGCCTCGATCCGAAAGTTTCAGAGATAAATCCAGAGAAAGTTTAGAAGAAGGTGAGTAACCCCCAAATCAGTGAAATTACCCCCAAAGCAATCTCTTCCCTTCCCCTTTCCCTGCTCCTCCCTCCCACCAAGAATCCCCCATTCTTGAACCCAAGTCCTGTTTTGCAGAACTCGCTGGCTGCCTTGATCCAGCTGTGCGCTGGTCCAGCTGTGTAGCCGTGCAACTTTGGGACACTTTCTAAAAAGTTTTGTCTCTTTTTTTTCTGTCCTCCCTGTTCCCTTTCTCTCGCTCCCCCGCCATGTTAGCCGCGAAGAGGCAAGATGGAGGGTTGTTTAAGGGGCCACCGTACCCTGGTTATCCCTTCATTATGATACCCGACTTGACTAGCCCGTACCTCCCCAACGGATCCCTCTCTCCGACGGCAAGAACAGTAAGTGACATTTTTATTCTTGTAAATTCCCTCCCTCCTCCTTCGCTTTAGAGTCACGACCTCGAAGGGTCCCTGCATGTAGCCCCTTCTCTTCCTTTCCCTCCCCCTCCCTCCTCCTTCTCCCCCCTCCTTTCTCCTCCCCTCCCGTCCTCTCCCCTCCCCTTCACCAGCTATTGCAAGGCTGCCAGAAACTTTCCAAACTTTTCTGCCTTTTGTGGACTGGGATTTGTTTGCTCTTCGCCATGTTGTTGCTTTCAGTTTGGTGCCTCGTTTGTTTTTGAAACCTTCCTTTCAAAGCAAGGCTTAAAAAAAAATAAGATCAGTAACTTTTGCGCTCTGATTTTTTTTTTTTTTTTGTGTGTGTTTCTTTTCCTTGGGAAGATCGCTGTGATCACTGTCTGGCTCTCTCTCTCTCTCACTCACTCTCTCTCTCTGTCTCTCTCTCTCTCTGCTTTCTGGTCTTTCCCCGTTTAACCATTTCGCTGCTGCAGAAAGCCCTCTGGTGACTGATTTAGCGTAACCGCCAAACTGAGTTGGTTGCTAGATAGTATCTTTCCTATTAGGCAGTGGACTTTTGAAAAGGAGAGCCCCATGCCCTAGAAGGAGACCTTGGCTTTCTCTGAAGGATTTCTATTTATTTATCCTCACGAGTATTGTTAGTATTACTCCTTCCCCCCCC